AGTGTCCCTGCTGCTAGTCCCTAGTTATCTGGAGTGCTCGCGCTCCCTGGGCCTCAGTTTTTCTTCCTCCGTAAAATAAATGCGCTGGGCCGGATCTTTTCTGAGTGCTCGTCTCGCTAGGGATTCTAGATCCCTCGTCTGGCCTCCCCGCACCAGGGAGCTTCAGGCGAGCCTTCGCTGTCCCCTAACCCCACCAGCTCTGGACCCCGTTTCTGCCTCAGTACTGCGCGCTGAGCTCTGCCCCTGCCCAGGACCTGACCTCCTCAGGGGCCGCTGTTCCGTGGGGTAACAGTGAGAAACTTGTCGGCCGTCTCCCTCAGGGCCTCGCTGTGCACAGAAAGATGAATTCATGGGCAAGGTGGCGGAGGGATCCAGGCTCTAGTGGACGCTTTACAGCCCCGCCAGGACTGGCCCCGAGATTTGCCCAGAGCCAGCGGCTGAGGGTGGAAGGGCTGCAAGGTCCAGCGCCTTACTTAGCTAGGACCCGGCCCCACCGCCTCTCCAGCCGACCCTGTCTCCACTGGTGCGGTTGCTGCTAGGTTCCCAAACACAGTGCTGCTGTTTCTGGTCTGACATCGCGGCCCTGCTCCTGCCTGCCTTCAGCCTGGGCTAGCCCCCCGCCCTTCCCCCAGCTCCCTGGCCCTGCGCCCACAACACTCCTCCTCCGCCTCCTTTAGGCTGATTCAGGCTCACCGGCTCTCGTCGCCCTGGTGGCCCTCCCCAGCCCTCCTATGCGCCTGCTCCGGGTGGCGCTCCGCTGGGCTCCTCGTGCGCCTGTCCGCGACCGCACCCACCGCATCCTGGCACCCCCATCGTGGCATCACATGTTCCCTCATCTGTCCTCATGGCTGGCGTGTCCCTCTGCGGTGGGACCTGCAGAACAGGAATTGGTGCCGGGTCAGCAGCCGGCAATGAAACCGGACGAAGCCTGCAAACCCCACACATACGCCAGCTTCACATAGCTTCTCTCCATTGCACAGCAGCGTGGGAAAGCACCGTTCTCTACCCTCCAAGTAAAAAGCTGACTGTGGGGCACAGAGGAGATCCTATAGCATGGCTGTGCTTCTGGGCACGCGCAGAAACATTCCCAAATGAGTTTTTTGTTGTTGTCGTTTGTTTTGTTTTGTTTCTTGTTTGTTTCAAGATACAGGGTCTTGCTGTGTCGCCCAGGCTGGAGTGCAGTGGTCCAATCACGACTCACTACAGCCTCGACTTCCGGGCTTAGGCGATCCCCGCCCCCCGCCCTCAGTCTCCCTAGTAGCTTGGACCACAGACCTGTGCCAGCACGCTGGCTTTTTTTTTTTTTTTTTTTTTTTTGAGAGAACCTGATTTCCTTCCAACCAATTGTGTTCTCCTAATTCCAACAACCAGATGAAGCTTCAACGCTTCTTTTTGTTCAGAGGCCTCCTGAGTCCTGTCCTACTCACAGTAAAGGCTCTGACAAAAACAAACAAAAAAACCACCACCAACAACAACAAAACATCATGGGGCAAAATAAACTGCATCTTAAAAAGGCTCATTTCTCTCTTTCTCTCTCCCTCCAATTTGTTGTCTTGAAACGGTTTACCCAAAATGGAAACTTTAAAAAAACAGTGGAAAATTTTCTCTTTGCACAAGATGGTTAATTCTTTTGGGTGCTGGCCTGGGATCCATGAAATAACCTACACTCGACCATAAAACTTTTCACTCCCATGTTTTGCAAACTGACGACCTTGCTGGCAACAAGCCCCCAGTGTGACTTTCCGAGGGAATTTGAGTGGTGCGAGGCGGAGGATGGGGCCTCACTATGTTGCCCAGGCTGGTCTCCAACTCCTGGACTCAAGTAATGCTCCCGTCATGGCCTCCCAAAGTGCTGGGATTACATGTGTGAGCCAACGTGCCCCCCGCAAAGGGCAGTTGACCTCAGCGTCTGAGGTGTGGAGGGAGCAGCTTGTTCCTTTTTCCTGCTCTACTGGGAAGGTACAAACCACGCTAAGCAATCCTCTTCAGTCTGTCCCCACAAAAAGAGGAAGAGAGAGGAGTTGCTGCAGGCCAAGGACAAGGAGAAAGGGAGGAGAGAGCCCTTGACTTGTCGCGTTTCTTGACTTTCCTTGCCGTGGTCTTTCCTTCCTCTCTCCAGGTCCACACGTCAACTTCTGTAGTCCTAGAAATGGGTCACCCCCTACAGGAGTCAGAGCCTTCCCCTAGCCCTCATGCTCTGAGGATGAGTGGGTGGAAACAGTCGCCTTCCCTCTCGCAATGTTTCCATCACTGCATCCTCCAGCTTGCACCACTCAGATCCCCTCGGAAAGTCACACGGGGGACTTGCAACCAACAAGGTTGTCACCGTTTACATAACGTGGGAGTGAAAAGCTTTATGGTCGAGTTGAGGTTATTTCACGGATCCCAGGCCAGCACTCAAAAGAATTAACCATCTTATGCAAAAAGAAAAATTTCCACTGGCTTTGCAAAGTTTGTTTTGGGTAAACTGTTTTAAGATAGCAAATTGTCACATACACATAAAAGAGAGAGAAAGAAAGAAATGAGCCTTTTTTGGATGCAGTGTATTTTTCCCCATAATTTTTTTTTCTTTTTTTTCTTTTTTTTTTTTTTTGCAGAGCCTTTACTGTGAGTAGGACAGGACTCAGGAGGCTTCTGAACAAAAAGAAGAGTTGAAGCCTCGTTTGGTTGTTGGAATTAGGAGAGCACAATTGGTTGGAAGGAAATCAGGTTCTGTAAGCATCAACAAAATTCGTAGTTTAAGTGATGTGAGTTATGGAGGGCAGAGAGTACTTGGTATATGGAAGTTACGTTAACAGAGCAGTGGACAAATGGGCAGTCTGCAGAAGAGAAAAGCTGAATAGCCAGCAAACATGGGCCCAGATGCTCAGTCTCAACCTTAATAAGAGAGGTGCAAGTTTAAACAACGAGATACCATCACACCTTATCAGATTGGCAGAATTACAAAGACTGACAAAACCAGGAATAACAAAGCTCGTGGGTAAATGAAAACTCCTCCACAGCTGGTGTGAGTGTGGACTGGAACCATGACTTTGGAGAAAAGTATATCAAAAGCTGTGGGGCACATCTTTCAAATCGGTCATTTCTCACAAGATTGCCATACTCCTCAGTCATTCCTTTTCCAGGAAAACACCCTAGAGAAAATCTTGTACTTGGACTCTAGGGAATGTATACAAGGATGTCCATTGTAGGTTAGCTTATAACAGCAAAACCCAGAAATAGCCCAAAAGTACATCAACAACGGAATGAATAAATAAAAGTGGTAGTTGTCATTAAACCTTTTTCCTGTTCTTGTATCACCCCAAAGTATGAAATACTATGAACTCCTTCACTCATTAAAAAAAAAAAAAAAAAAATTAGGCCAGGTGTGGTGGCTCATGCCTGTCATCCCAACACTTAGGAAGACATAGGCAGGTGGATCACTTGAGATCAGGAGTTCAAGACCAGTCTGGCCAACATGGCAAAACTCTGTCTCTACTACAAATACAAAAATTAGCCAGGCATGGTGGTGCGTGCCTGTAATCCCAGCTACTCATGAAGCTGAAGCAGGAAAATCGCTTAAGCCCAGGAGGTGGAGGTTGCAGTGAGCCAAGATCACACCACTGCACTCCAGCCTGGGCGACAGAGAGAGACTCTGTCTAGAAAAAAAAAAAAAAAAAAAAAGATTTAGCAAGGAACAGTGGCTCATGCCTGTAATCTCAGCACTTTGGGAGGCTGAGGCAGGAGGACTGCTTGAGTCCAGGAGTTGGAGGCTCAGGAGTTGGAGGCTGCAGTGAGCTGTTATCACACCAATACACTCAACTTTGGAAAATCAAGGAGTGGGGGGGCTTGCCCCTGTTGACAGAGCTAGACTCTGTCTCTAAAAATAATAATAATTAATTGTGGCAAAATACACATAACAATCTTACCATTTTAACATTTTAAGTGTACAGTTCAGTGGTATTGAGTACATGCATATTGTTGTGCAACCTTCACCACCATCCTTCTCTGTAACTCTTTTCACCTAGAAAAACTGAAACTCTATAACCGTTAAACAATAACTCCCATTCCTCCCTCTCCCCAGCCTGTCCCAACCACCGTGCTGCTTTCTGTCTCTATTACTTTGACTACTATAAATACCTCAAATACATAGAATCATACAGTACTTGTTTTTTTGTGACTGGCTTAATTCACTTAGCATAATATCCTCAAGATTCATCCATACTGTGGCGTGTGTCAGACTTCCTTTTTAAGGCTGAATAATATTCCACTCTAAGTATATACCACATTTTGTTTGTTTAAATAAATCTTATTGTGTATATGTAAGTTTATACAACATAATGGTATAAGACACACATATTTAGTAAAATGGACACTATAGTGAAACAAGTTGATATATCCATCATCTCACTTAGTTACCCATTTATTTCCTCCTGTAGCAAAAGCAACTGTGCTCATCTAGCAAAAATCCTGAAATAATACACTATTATTAACTATAGTCTTCATGTTGTACTTTATTTGACTTGTTCATCCTATATGTTTGCCACTTTGTATCCTTAGATCCATTTCCTCTCTCCTACTGCAATCTTGATAACCACTGTTTTATTCTCTATATATTTGACCCTTGTCAAAGATTCCATAGGCCAGGTGTGGTAGCTCACACCTGTAATCTCAGCATTTTGGGAGGTCGAGGCAGGTGGATCATCTGACGTCAGGAGTTCGAGACTAGCCCAGCCAAAATGGCAAAACCCCATCTCTAGTAAACATACAACCATTAGCCAGGTGTGGTGGCAGGTGCCTGTAGTCCCAGCTACTTGGGAGGCTGAGGCGGGAGAATTACTTGAACCCAGGAGGCAGAGGTTGCAGTGAGCCAAAATTGCACCACTGCACTCCAGCCTGGGCAGTGGAGTGAGACTCCGTCTAAAATAAATAAAATAGGTAAATAAAAGATTCCACATATAAGGAAGATCATGCAATATTTTTTTTCTGTGTCTGGCTTATTTCATTTAGTATAACATCCTCCAGGCCCGTCTAGGTTATGACAAATGGTAGGAAGTGGTAGGATCACTTCCTTTTTTATTTTTTATTTTTATTATTTTTTTAAAATTCAGTGTCACCTATTTGTCTCAAATACAAGTACAGTGAGTATTAACAGGAATGACAATAGAGTAGCAAAAACAGAACTGGTAGATTTGCCCAAATTAACTGTTTCTCCGAATTTGAGGTGTATGGCAAGCTGAATGCTTGATCTCTCAGCAATTGTTAATTACATTATCAGCTTAATACTTTCAAACACTACGGGAGGCATTTCTCTGTTCACATAGACTTAAGTACACCTATGCTAAGCTGTAAATAGTCTGCCTTCCATTAGTTTGGTCTCTAAGCACCATAAATATGTAGACTTCAAATCAGTCTGTGAGACCCAGTGACCCTCTCTTCAGAGGCATCGGTAATACATTTGGCAAATGTATTGAAACATATACAATGTTGATAATAAGAGTCCCAAATATGTATTTTTTAAAATGTTAACATTAGGAAAAAAATTATAATTATCATCAGCTCTATTTCCTGAAAAAGTTCAGTTGAGGTAATTTCTGCAAATCACAGCTCCACATTTCCATACTCTTCTGACCCTCTTTTTCACTGGGCTGTGGTCAATAGAATCTGAAGATATATCTCCAGAACCTTTCATTTGATAATCAAAAGTCAGCTCTTCTCCAGCATGTATGGTTCTCGTGGAAAACAGTGCTCTTTGGGAAAGACGAGTATTGAGGTTATCAATGAAAACATTGAACACCTGAAGATTTGGGTCACAACTGTGATTCACAAAATGAGACACATTGCCGTATCGAGCTGCATCCACTGTGAATTCATTAGATTCATAGTCCAGATCAAAGAGATATGTGATTCCCTTGTTGTCATAGAACTGTCTCCGTCTTTCAGCTTCTTCACTTGTGATTACCTCTCCAACATATTCCATGACAAAACTCATTCTTTTAATCTTCACAAGGGTCTTTATACCCCTGCCATGTCCATTGCTAGTTTGAAAGATGCAGAGCGAATACTGTGTGCCCTTTTGTACAATCCTATTGGGACAGTCAGGTTCACATTGACACCTTGAGTTGCATTCGTAGATGGGAGTACCAGGTGGGATTTTAATTTGTTGGTTTTTATTATAAGCCAAAAGAACTCCAGCTTCAGCAGGACAACATTTTTGAAAGAAACAATCTGTGCATGAATGGCCAAAGGTAGCTTCATTGACTAAGCTGATTCCAGGAGCTGGTTTATATTTGTTAATGTAATAGAAGTCTGAAGGTGGGCCCTCTAAATCAGCAGTATTTTCAACAAATATCATTCCTTTATGATTCTTCCTTCTGTTGATTTCATCTTGCCATCTCTACAGAGCTATCCTTTGTTTAGTCTTCTTCACAATGTACTCAGTGATGGCAGGTTTCAAAGTTTTGTTATTGTCTTTCGAAGTTATTGCTTTGCCTTTCTTTACCTGAGATAAATAATTACGCTTGTCATTAGAGAACTGCTGAAGCAGTAATGGGCACTTCAGATTTTGCAAAGGTTCCCAAGTATTTGTAGAATCTGGCCATCCTTTCCATTTTACAAGATAATATTCCATATCCTTTACTACCTTGTAGTCACACAATTATTCCACCTCATAATTATTTAGATTCCTTTTGGTGATTCCAATCAATTTACATGTGAGCTTTTCTTTTCTACATAATTCCTGAAGAGTATCAAGTGAAACTAGGCAAGGCACACACCAAGCTGGTAATGGGGAGGGCAAGGGGGTCGCGCTCCAGCCTCACCTCCTCGCGCCTCGGCCCCCACCGCCGCCATCTTGTGGAGATCTCCTCCTGTTTTAAGACTAAATTCCTTTGTATATATCCATACCACAATTTCTTTAACCATTCATCCATTGATGGTTGTCCAGGTTGTCTCCATATCTTGGTTATTATGAATAATGCTACAAAAAACATAGGAGTACAGATACCTTGGTGAGGTGGTGGTTTCATTTCCTTTGGGTATGAGCCCAGAAGAGAGATTCCTGAGTCCACATTTTGTTTATTTATCCAGTAATAAACACTTGGTTTGCTACCACATTTTAGCTACTGTGAAAAATGCTGTTACAAAATGAATGTACTTCTTTACTCAGTTTTAACTTGACATCAAACATTTTTCATCACTATAAAGGATATCATTTCCAAAGTAAATGTTGATTTTTAAAATAAAACCTTATTCTTTTAAATTATTTATAATAGCACATAAATATCATTTTATTTCAACCATCACTCATTTTTAAAATATAAGAAAAAATTCTTGACTTTTGGAAATTTTCATCACTCCTTCTTCTCCTTAAACTTATGAATTCTAGGCCAGGTGCAATGGTTCACACCTGTAATCCCAGCATTTTGGGAAGCCAAGGCAGGCAGATCAGTTGAGGCCAGGAGTTCATGACCAACCTGGCTAACGGGGTAAAATCGCTCTACTAAAAATACAAAAATTAAAAATACAAAATTTAGTCGGGTGTGGTGGTACACACCTGTAATCCCAGCTACTCAGGTGGCTGAGACACAGGAATCACTTGAACCAAGGAGGCGGAGGTTGCAGTGAGTGGAGATTTTGCCACTGCAGTCCAGCCTGGGTGGCAGAGTGAGACTCTGTCTCAAAAAAATAAAAAATAAAAACAAATGAACTTATGAATTCTATTCTACTTCCTCCATAAAAGTTTAATATAACAGGTGCATATGCTTAAGGACCTTATATTGATCAATATTTCATACTTCTCTTCCAAAGAAGCACATGAGATGAATTTTTAATTTGTTGCAACCATAAGTTTCTAAATATTAAAAGTTTTAGATTATGTCATCATTGTGAGTATTAATAGTGCACAATTGTCCTTTATAGCGTAAATAAACTGTAAGTTTTCAAAATTAATGAATATTAAAAGTAACCTTTGGCCGGGCATGGTGACTCACACCTGTAATCCCAGCACTTTAGGAGGCTGAGGCAGGCAGATCACTAGAGGTCAAGAGTTCCGAGACCGACCGGCATAACATGGCGAGACTCCGTCTCTACTAATAAATACAACAAAATTGGCCAGGCATGAGATGTGTAGGATGCCTGTAATCCCAGCTTCGACTCGGTTAAGAGGCTGAGGGACCGTCGAGACTCAACTTCGAACCCAGGACTAACACGCTTCCAGCCACTCAGGTCACCATATAGTGTGGCGGAGTTGCAGTGAGCCAAGATTGTCACCATTTACTCCAGCCTGAGGCAACGAAGTCACGACTGTCTCTAAAAATAAATAAAAAGATAAAATAAAGTAACTTTGTTACATGCTCTGTACTCTTCTTGTATCTGCATGTCAATCTACAATTATCTCAAAAAAAGTTTTTAAAAAAATGAATATATTGGAGAAAATCAGCTCTTAATGAAATGGACTCACCCGCACAAATGAATTTTGGGGTCCAATTAATTAATGAATCCATAATAATAACAGGACTTAGATGATGCAGAATGAGACAGAGTCAGCATTAATTTTGTTTTGTTTTGTTTGTTGTACAGTGGCAGAGTACTGAGACATTTTGTTTCCGTAAATACATAGTGCTTTGTTACAACAGAAATCACTAAATCTTCTTTTTCCTTTTTTTTTTTTTTTTTTTTTTGCAAAAAGACAAAAGCATGAGCCAGGTGCAGTGGCTCATGTCTGTAATCACAGCATTTTGGGAAGCCAAGGTGGATGGATGGATGCCTTGACTCCAGGAGTTCAAGACCAGCCTGGGCAATATGGTGAAACCCCATCTCTACTAAAAGTAGCCAGGTATGATGGTGCACAGCTGTAGTCACAGCTACTTGGGAGGCTGAGGTAGGAGGATTGCTTGAACCCAGGAGGTTGAGGCTGCAATGACTCCGCTGGACTCTAGCCTGGGCAAAAGTGCAAGACCCTCTCTCCAAAAAAGACAAAGAAAGAAAGAAAGAGAGAGAGAGAGAGAAAGAAAGAGGCAACAAACACAATGTTATCTATCATCAAAAATTAATTTTAGTGATCTATTAGTTGCTGTATTAGTTTGCTAGGGCTGTTTTAACAAAGTACCACAAACTAGGTGGCTTCAACAAAAGAAATTTATTGCCTCACATTTCCAGAAGCTAGAAGTCCAGGATCAAGGTGTCAGCTGGGTGTGTTCCTTCTGAGAGCTAGAGAAGGAATTTGTTCCATGCCACTCACCTAGCTTCTAGTCAGTTGCTGGCAATCTTTGGCATTCCTTGGCTTGTAGAAACATCACCCCATCTCTGCCTTGTTTTCAGATGATGTTCTCTGTGTGTGTGTCTTGGTTGCCCCTTTCTATAAGGACACCAGTTATATTGGATTAGAACCCATCCTAATGGCCTCACTTAAACTTTATTACCTCTGTAAGGACCCTATCTCCAAATAAGGTCATATTCTGAGATGCGAGAGTATAAGACTTCAACAAATGTACTTGGGGGGACACAATTCAGTCCATGTTAGTTGCCAAATCTAGAAGGCCTTCTTCCAATTTTGTTGAAGGCAAAGACTTGGGAACCATTGACCTGCACATGGGTTTGTTACCATCTTTAGATTTATTCACTTTCTCAGGTTTTGGAAGCCCTAAACTAGGTTGTACTGAAGCCTACCAAGTAGCCATCAATGACACCATTCTTCTTTCACTTAAAATTGATTGTTGAAATTGATTAACTTGGAAAGTATGTGCATGCTATCCACCATCCCTAAAGTTCATCAAGCCAACAAGACTCAGGAAGATCAACAGAAAATAAGCAAGCAGTAGCCCCGTTCAAACAGAACCTGCAAGCGAGAGGAAACACTAACGCTCCTATAGCAATTTCCTATAAACCAAGAAATCCACAACACCACAAACCCCTATTTACACTATTCTTTTACGACAAAAAAGAAATTCTAAACATCCCATGCTCCTGCTCCCCAACTCTGCGTTAACATGTGACAGATAGGCTGGCTCCCCACTTCAGAAAAAGATCATCAGCCCTTCTGCCAGATTCATATAGCCATTCCAACTCCCTCCAGCTCTCATAATATCCGCACAAAGCGTAAACCTGACACTAACATAAAAACAAAGATTCAAAGAACAGTCCAGCCCACCACTCACAAATCCACTACCCTAAACTTAGTGATATCACAACTTTAAAATAGACAACAGACAACCCACAGCAAATCTCTCACACACTCTATCCCGCCTCCCCATTCGCCCACCTCATCTCTATGCGCCAACTCAACGTAACAAAGCTATCTCGCGGAGATACTAAACAACAAATACTAAGGCACGCCGCAGCACACCTCGAATACCATATTACAGCCAGAATCTAATACACCCGCACCCTTCCTTCGCAGCGAGCATAGTCACACATAGCATTCACTCTCACTTTATTGGTTTCTTCTGCCGGCCACCGCCAACATCACGTCTCCTCAATCCCCTAATCAGGCTGGAGCCGCAGTGCTCTACACAGCCACCCTAAACCAGCCTAACTCCCGGGTTCTTGCGCCATTCACACCTACCCCCAACTCTATCCACTAAACTGCCCTCACAGCCTCCGATAGCCCCCGACTTATAGTCATCACCCCTGCCCCACCTTAAACACCCAACCTCCAAACCACCGAAATCTACCGGTCGACACATGCCTCAACCCGCCACTCTCTCCCTCCCATGGCTCGATCTCCTCTTCGCCTACCGTCACCACAAGCCACTTCGTGCCTCAGGAATTCCACCGATGATCGAAGCACTCCCAAACACATCCAAAACCACAACCTAAAAAACATCAAAACACCCAATTAAACGCCAGCCCGTACTAACCAGCAAATTCTTCTAACCCAAGTCATCGGAATCATACATAGAAAAATGTTTCAAGATTGTCTTTTTATTGGTGGCCCAGAGGATTATGGTC